TCATTGTGGAAACATTCAACTGCCAGTCCTTCATCACCTTAAATGAAATAGGGTGAATACATCTCATATGTATGAGAGGTAGTCTCAAAATCTTAATTATAAAGTAGAAATCAGTACATCTGTGTTCCGGAATATTCTTCTCAAGTTCTTAATTTCATTTATTTTACTACTTCTTCATATGCTCACTTAGTTTATGTATATATGCTAAATGCAAAGGCTCTTACTACTGGTCGGCTTCCTTCTTTGCATGCCTTCGTGTGGTAGTCATCCAGTTAGGCATATATTGTTAAATTCTTCCTATATTTTATGCCATCTCTTCTTTCTTCTAGCAAAGCGATTGGCTTAGAGTCTGATAGTGCAGTAATCGGACAGATTTTTGCCCGACTTCTCGAGTACCTTGATGAGCTCCATGCAGATTCTAGTTCGCATAGTCAACGTGCTTTATCTCGCCTATACCTGCCTATTTCCCAACTGATTTACGCTGTCATCGATACGGCTGCAGCAGCGATGGCATCTCTTCATGAGTCACAGCCCACAGAACATGGTAGTTGTACTATTCGTGGAACGAACAATCTTTTATTGGGTTCAATCCCAACAGCTTCCTCTTCTAGCATTCTGAGTGACCAGTTAGTCATCGGCCTTCCAAGAGCTGCGCTCGTCTACCTCGGCTGTCTGCCTCCCTTAGGCGATTTTGATTTGAATCCACCCACAGCGACGATTTGCGATTTGCCTCAATCTCTAGGTAACTTGCGAGCAGAAATGTATCATCACTTATTTCGGCCCGGACCTCACGTCTTTAGTTTGCTTGCTACATACCTTCTGCGGCAATCGCGCGACATTCACACTCCAGGCCAGTCACACTCTTTTGGGGCTGATGAGCCAGTGACTATCTGGTGGCAGCATTTTCTATCTCGACTGACTACGGACTCTTCCGATTCTTATCTAAGAGGTGACCAACAGGTCAGTCATCGCGTTGTTCAATTGCTTTGCTTGTTGGCTGGCCAGCCTTATGGGCTAACAGGGAAAAAGTCATTGCTTCATTGCCTAATCGCCAACCTACCATCTGCCCTTGATGTGGAAGCTAGAGGCAAAATTCTGAATTTGCAGAAATGCTGCCTGATGCTGGTGCTGCTTCGTTACCAATTGCATCACCTCTACGACCCACCAGGGCACTTGGCTGATCAGTTGCGTCCCTTCCTCGGTCTATTGGGCCGCTCGTCTGCCACTACTGATGAAGTATGGCAGTTCTCCCGATTGAAGATTCGCGCCTCTCGATTCTCAAGCTGGTTTACTGTCCACCGGCCGGAATATTTCTACGACCTTTTGCTG